AACGTATTAATGAAATCAAAATAGTTAATTATATAGAATTATAGATCTGTTATATAATTTATAAGAGGTAGAGGAGGAGATTGCAAATGAAGTTTTCTTCACACAAGACCAACAATACTGATTTTCCAGCATTTTTCTCTTCAAATCTGTCTTTGTTTATACTTCAAAGCCATATTTGCTTATAAATAAACTTAAAAAGTCGACAAGTTTCAATAATTCTCTCCTCATCCTCCCTTTTTCGTCCATAAATTACCTCGTTGGAGGATTTTGTCCTAACACCCTAGTCTACCCGCGCTTCCTCCTACTACAACCAATAGCAACCGTTCCCGGCGAACGCGAGTTTCGAAATGAGTCCAATGAGTCACATGAACTTTCCCGTGGTCTGCCACGTACAGCTCATAACGTGACTAGTATGCTAATTACGCATTCGCTATGTTATGTAGCAGCCGTTTTTTTTTTTTGCAATTTCATTACGAAATCTGTTTGAGTGTTAAATGAATTACCCAAAATGGCTTTTGACCGCAAAATAATGAAATTTGAATTTAAAATGACTCACGGGATGGCATCATCATCATGGCTGGCAGAGAATATTTGGGTCGTGGAGGTCCAGCGTAACTCAGTTTCTTCATTACAGCCTTATCATCGTCCTAAAGGGTAATAAGATTAATTGCAAAGAAATGAAGCAATTAGAAGAGAATGATTGAATTACCTGTGCTGCAAATACGGAGTTGACAGTTAAGCTTCGACGGGGATGATGCAATTCATGGCGATTCGGACGATGATCATCAATATTTTTTTCATTTAAAAATCCTTCTAATAATCCTCCAAATGCCATGTTTGATGAATTTCGATTAGAAATCTATTAAAGAAGAAAAATGTTAAAAACAAAACAAAAATTAAGGAAGAAAGGAAGAGCAAGAGACAAATCCTTTCATCATAGCTAATGGCTTGCTCAGCCTGCGAGTACGAAGGTAAACAACACAAAAAAACTTTTTTTACTTCTCAGCCATCATTTTAACAAAGCAGGTGATCAAAATTAGAAGAAAAGAGATTCTATTGATTGTTTAGTAGTTTTACAAATTATTTAAATTTGACAAAGGCAATATGAGAAGCGATTGTTATGTAAGAAAGCTATGCGGACAACGATGGAAGAAACGAACGAACACTCGTAGCCAATACAAACACATCATCAAGTTTTATCATTCAAAATCTCTTCTGATTACAGAAGATGGAAGAAAACTTTTTTTTCTTTACAAATCTCCAGAGTATTGACTGTCAGTTTTATTGGGAAAAATGAAATAAATTCCTTTTTTGTCAATTATAATTTCGCAAAACAACAAAGGATCTGTATGAATGTGGGGTAGAGAGTCGATCAAACGTCTCCGTATGAAAAACTTCCGAAGAAAACAAAAAAAAATTTTAAAAATTAGCTCTTTGGCGGAAGACGGAAACATGAATGAATCGTTTACTGTTTCGAAAACTGAACAAAAAACAGCTGATACTCATAAGAAACAGTGAAAAATATGTAATTCAATATGAAAATATGACAATTAGAACAAGATTCTTCTGAAGAAATATCCCATACATTCAGATGGCCAACAGATGATTTTTGACAAGAATATGTGTGTGTGTGGTGTGTGTGAGAAGAGGAAAGAAGGGGGGAGCAGAAAAAACATGCTTCTGACGCCATCTTATGAGATGATAATTGCTAGCAAACTCTCGAGGGATCTCAAAATTATGAGTCTTGGATATGGCGGGGTGATGATTGAAGGACAAAAAAAATGGAGGGAGGATTGAAGAAGCCGCTGACTCGTAATTTGTATGTTTCTACGCCGCACACCACGTTGAAATTCAGAAGCTTGAAAACAGTCGTAGCCAAAATACTAGTCTTGGTTTGAGGATTCCTTCCTTTTTCCTTCTTTTTTTGGGGCAATGCTTCATCTCTCAACAAGCAAATTGAACCGATACACAGCAGTCAGCACTTTGATTCAAAGCCATTTTAACTAGTGGGTTTGGGGTGGATTCGGAAGGCGAAAAAACACATAAATCCTTGTCTGTGACATGAGCAATTTTTCAGGTCTTTTCTCTTCATTCACACATATAAAGGCAATCAGATGGAGGAAGAAGATTGAAGAGTACACCACTTGGCATGAATTCTATAGAAATACACTTAAAACTTTGCAAAAAATTTTATATTCCATTTGCAAATGAATGAACTCTCACCTTATTTCGTTCATAATGACATTCTCAAAGATGTTCCTCGATTTTTAGCCTCAAATTATTCAAAACAAAGCGCAGACTCGAATACGTAAGCAGCACACTACTCGCTTTAATGGCACTATCACTTAATTAAACGAAAAAGAAAAATGACTTGAAAATTCCTTCTCTCTGACTAGAGCTTGATAACGAAAAACAGCATAAAGGTTCAAGCCATATAAGGACTAGGACGAGAAAGGAGGAGGTCCAAGTAAATTTAAGCCAAGTGTTGACAGATCAGAATGAGTCAATCACAAATGCAAAAGCATCATATATGAATTTTTGAGTAAAACATATAATGCAAGAGAATCTTCAACTTCCTGGAAAATGGAATGAAAGAGAACAGATCATATGCAACAGCGGATAATGATAGATGAAAAACAAACAGTTGAATATACTTGTGAACAAAATAATGAATAAATATCATTTTTATCTGTTTTCTACATCTCCCTCCCTCACTCTCTCTATCTTTCTCTCTCTCTTTGTATCTTTACCATGTCCGTCAGTTAAAGCTTGATGCTTTTGAAACATGTTTATTCTCATCAGTTCCATTCTCTCGTTTTTCTTAACAAAACTAAGGAATGCGAGCAAAAAACGAAGCAGTGAGGATGGGAAGGGGGGGGGACATAGGCTTTAGCAACACACAAAAATGAATACAAACTGAATGACGAAAATGGGTAAGAAAACGGGAAGAAAGATAAGAAAGTACGAAGTCACTTCCTTTCTATATTTCCACCCAAAACATCGCTTTGAATCTGGCGCCTCAAGGCATTTTGCGTGTTTACCCATTTCCCTCAAAACCCGAAAGCATACTTTAATCATTTTTTAAAACGTTATGACTGCTTACATCATGTTCTATGCTCTAATTCAAAAAGGACGACCGATAAAGTCAAATTATTCATTAAAAAACATTCATCACAATTACTTCCGCCACAAAACGTCTGTCTAAGAGTGAATGTGAGAATGGGCGCCAAAACACGTGGAGTACGTTAACTCTTACGCATTTCGAAAGTTGTCGGCGCGTGGAACGGTTGCTCTCCTTTTACTCCTGATTTTCACACCAAAATGTTTGAAAACGAGGAGTGAAAGAGAGTGTGATGAAGTTTGGTGTCATTTGGCAACAAAATTGAGAATCATTTGCAAAACTCATCTGAATATTCAAATGAAAGATGGACAATTGATTTTTTCTACGACGTTCAACTCGAACTTATATTTTTTTGAGCAAAAAAATGAAGAAATCAGACTATTTTGAGATTATTGGGAGATGAACTTCATGTGCAAAGCAGGAACAAGACCTTTTGAATAAATATCTTTAGGACACTCGTTTGGAGTATTATGAAGTGAAAAAAACTACTTTCATTTTTCAATTCAAAAACGGCTTCTGCCATCATCAATGAACTAAGCAAGGACATTCCACGTAGGAGATTGAGCGAAATCGGAAAATTAAAGAAACGGCTGTGTCAAAATAAGGTGCGAGACGGAAGCTGAGAGAGGAGAGAAACGACGTCAAAACACGCGGAGTTTACTATTTTTATATCTATGATTTAATAAAAAAATTGTTTCTTCATTAAAAAATGATAGAAAGAGATAAATGGGAATATGGAGAGATAAAGAGATTGAGAGAGAGAGGGAGAGAGGGGGAATCAGCGCACCCAGACTAAGGAAGACGAGGGGATGGGAGATTTTTTGAAGAAAGCAATGATTTTCTTCCTTTCAGCTCATTTTAAATTTTATCAACAAACATGGGGTTTGCAGAAAAATAGAAAAACGCGAAAAGTCATGCAGTTCTTGAAGGAAATGTTTCCAACTAGCTACTAATCTGTAAACAAATCGTTGTGTTCAAATGACCTTATATGGAAAACAATTTCTGTCACTTATGGTGGTGGTGGTTGTGTTGAGAAGAGAAAACATTCCTTTCCAACCTTATTCTCCAGAATTGAGTTTACTTGTGAACACAAATAGTCTACAACCCATATAGAATGCTCTAGGTTTCACTCTCTTTCCATTTATAGAGTCAGATGATGCTGATGATACTCCGAACCGATAACGGAACGAAAATTTGAGTGAAAAAAAGAGTTTTCCGCGAAAAATGAATTAATAATGGCCTTCTCGTGGTAAAAGTCAGATTCACATTCATATAACAAGTGCATGATTAAAAATATTTTCTCAAAAAGAGCAAAATTAGATTTATTGAACTGCAAAAGATGGCTCTTCCCCTAATTTGACACGGAAGAAACACATTTGCCAATCAGTTTTTTTGCTTTTCTCACGTCTGTTACCAAATTCCTACTGGGATTTCCATAAAGAGCAACCAAAGATGATTGCAAACATCATCCCATCAAACTCACAACATGTGCCTCTACTTAGAAATCTAATTTGCTATTGTACTCTTCTCTAATTCGACAATTCTCAAGACCATTCCCAAACATATCTCATAAACTTATGCAAATCACAGTTCTCCCACATGGGAACATATCCTTACTTTAAACTCGAAACATAAATAATCGCCTTCATTGAAACTTCACGAATTAGCTTCGTTAAGCCGTTTTGAAACGAGGGGTCAGTGCGTGACAAACGACTCAAAATGACCTCATGCGAGCATAGCTAATTTCAAGGAACGTTTGGTCGCAATGCGGCGTCGGCAGGAAAATGTGAGCTGCGACTTCATTTAAAACACGGCATCTGCATATGGCTTGGAAATTTTCTTTTGATTTATACTAATTTGTGAATCGCTACTTTCAGTAATGAATGCAGAATTGTTAGAGAAAAGTATTGGAGTACCAGTTCCCGAAGAGTTAGACGGCACACTAGATTTACAAGTTAGTGCTTGAGCTTAACTACTTTCAATGCTGAGTTTTAGAATGGACTGGCCAATTGTTGTAAGTTTAATAGATGGGGAGCTCTGGTAGCGGTTGGGAGTACTGATGGCAAAGTGTTTATTTTTGATTTTGTCACAAGAGGGATTGTCAGGGTTTGTTTATTGACAATGTCAGCTTTACACATGTTCTTTACAGTCATGGCCTGCTCATCCTCATCCCATCAGTTCTCTATCATGGTCGAGGAATGGGCGACACCTGATGACTTCATCGTCCGACACCACTGTAGCTATTTGGGATGTTTTACAAGGCACTATAATTCAAAGATATAAATTTGGTTCCATGGTGACGAGTGCGACATTTAGTCCACGGTGAGCATTGTAACAGAGAGAGGATGTACTCTTAACATTTCCAGGAATTCGAATCAATTCCTAATTTTGCAAGTTGCGTGTCCACCTTCTGTCGAAACTATCAGTCCTCGAAGTTCAAAGGCATTTTTCATATTTGTTTTTTTAAAGCTAACGTTCATCATGCAGGTGTTGACCAATGAAATCCCAGGATCCATAGAGGATAATATGTCAGCCGTATCATATGATAAGAGATCGAAGTATATAATAGCAGGAACGACGAAAGTTCGAAAGAATGAGTTATTGAAAACAATTTTTTATTGTTTAAGGGAAAACTGATTATCTATGACGCCAACACTTTGAAAGTTATCAACTGGTGCAAGCAAAACAGTGTGCAGCAAGTAAGAAAACTGGGATAATTCATGTTCATGACGATGTTTTCAGATTAGACAAATCATCATTTCGAAACGAGGTGATTACATTCTCACTAATTCTCAGGTTTGGATTCTTTATCATCGTTAACTTGAATATCATCTGTTATCTTAGGATCGTGTCATTCGCTCCTATAATCTTCAATTCCTGTTGGATTGTTCCAAGGGGAGTACCATAGAACCTCAGAACAAAGTTCTGGATATTGTAAATAAGGTATTATGTTGAAATTGAGTCCCTTCTTCTCATTAGATACTTCAAGGCTGCTTGGAAATCCGTTTGTTTGGATGCTGATGGTCATTATATTTGTGGAGCTAGTACCAAAGGACACTCGTTATACCTTTGGGAAAGGACTGGTACCCTTATAAAAATTTTACATGGAACAAAGGTTTTTCAAATAGCATACATCTCGTTAACTCATCATGTTTTTATTTAGGGTGAGACATTACTTGATGTTCAATGGCATCCTACGCGTCCTGTTTTACTTTCCGTAGCTAACGGCATCATATCCGTTTGGACACAAGCTCATGTAGAAAATTGGTCTGCGTTTGCTCCAGATTTCACCGAACTAGAAGAAAATTGCAAATATATTGAGAAAGAAGGTGAATTTGACATGGAAGATGAAGATGCTGAGGAAGAAGCAAAAGATAAAGAAGTAGGAATAGTTTCAACATCATTTTCACACTTTGTCTGATTAGGAGTCAGAAGACGAGGAGATCGATGTAGTGGCTATGAAGCCTGGAGATATCCTATGTAGCTCTGATGAAGAAGTAAGTCGGACAGCAGTCCTATCATTACCATAGTCTTCCAGTCTGATATGGGTACTCTTATCCCGGATGTGACCTTGAAAACAGGTCCGTTGTGGTTTGTACCAATAACTCCTGACATCGAAAATCCTGAGCAGCCCGCAGTGGATATGTTGCCTAGGCCGGTACATCCCACTCCAACGGAAGAAGAATCTTCCCGGAAAAGAGCTTTCCCTGGTGGAAAGCCCGGATCTAGACCTCGCAAGTCTAAATAGGTTTTCATTTGAATTTTCTTTGATCGCTCTCCCGTTCTTGTCTGTTTGATTCCTGTACTAATGCATTATTTCGTTGACGTTCTCCTCTTTCATCCTCATGGACCAACGCTTTCTAAATATTTTTATTCCTCGATGTATTATATATTTATTTCTTTTCATTTCATACATCCCCGTATCTCTTCTTGTCTTGTACTTAGTCCTTCGCAATTAATGAATATTCATAATTCTTTCTCTAAAATACTTTTTCTCAGAACATTAAAAGGTATTTGTAGGTGCTCAAAGGAAAGTATAAATCTTACGATGTTGAGACAATAACATCATTTCAATGCCATATAAGGGACAATTTGCAAGCCTGTACCGGAAGACATTAAGCTTCAAATACGTGCAGATACCAGGTTTACCTTAAAAAAGTAGTAAAACATACGTTTCTATTACCTAAATGATGTGGTGGGTGTGTCTACAAGAACAAAAAGAAGTAAGAGATCTTAATCTAGCCAAGCTTGGCTATTTCGAGATACAAGCTGTCTTCCCTTTCCATTTCAAGTGTCGCCACAACTCTTCCCATCATGAAAGGAATTCTGAATATTGTCAAAGAAGGCAATGAAGACCAAGTAAGCTCAATCCTCTTTCCACCTTCGATAACTCCTGTTCAGACGGAAAAGCAACAACATCCTCGTAGATTCAGTTTGGTCCATCAAGCAAGTTGTGAAACACAACACATCATTGGGCTGAAGAGAAGAGAAACTATTCGTCATCGGCAACAACTCGAGAAAGGATTACCTGATCGCAAGAAAGAAGTAGGACTCTTCTTATTTGCATAATACTCATTTTTATTTTGAAGATTCTTCAAAAACTCAATGACGAAGCAGTCGAACTTATCTGGTCAGCGGAAACAGGATCCATTGAGTTCTCTGCCATATTAAGCAGTTCAGGTGGTTTGAAGGCATAGGGAGCTAGAAGAAGAAAGCTGTCAATGTTTTCAGCACCTCTCTCGGACTTCGTTCGTGCATGTTTGGAATCATTTGAGTCTAATGGAATAGATCTTCAACACATCGAGTCGCGAAAGGGCAAAATTGTCGCAGGAAAAACAAGTTTTCATACTTTCTCTCTGATTCTTCCTAGTCAATGTATCTAGGCTGGGACTTATTAGCTGATTGTAATGCAACTAAGGAGCAATTATTGTTAAGCGCTTCAGCGTTGGTTCATTGTCATCTGGAACTAAGTAATATTGCTCTTTATCATAAAAAAAGGGAGCCAACTAGTATGCATATTCTATGTCAACGTAAACAAGACACACAACTTGCAGTTCCTTGGTTTCCGAAGCATGTCTCAGACCTGGACTTATGTTCTCATTGCATCACCAAATATGAGCCCACGACTGACCCTCGACATCCGGTAAGTCGGAGTTTATGTTATAGATCTAATGAACTCCACAAAAGGGTCATGGGGATGAAGCTTACATAGCCAGAAGACAATTTTTAAACAATCAGGCGTTGGAGTATAAACAGTATGTTTTTTATGTTCTTCCATTTTAATGAATTATAAATATTAGTGGCGATCCAATACCGTATGTGGAATATACAAAGGAAGAGCATGAAACGTGGAAAGCTGTTTATGAAAAACTCAAAACACTTCATGATAGTTTAGCCTGTGACACTTATAGGTTGTAATATCTGCGTTCACACAAACAATAATAATATTAAGAAAGAACCTCAACTTGTTGGAAGAGGAGGGAGTACTGAGTAGTGAAGAAATTCCACAGATTCGCGATGTGAACAAGTTCTTAAGAAGTTTTGTCTTCTGGTAACCATTGCATTTCAACTTTCATATTCCAGAACGCACTGGATTCATTTTACGCCCGTGCAGTGGCCTGTTATCGGCAAGAGATTTCCTGGCCAGTCTGGCCTTCCGTGTTTTTCAGGTTTGAATAATTTCGATATTACTAGTTTCAAACTGTTTACAGACGACCACTTACTTACGTCATAGTGCTAGTCCTCATCATTCTCCTGAACCCGATTTGATTCATGAGCTTCTCGGCCATGTCCCAATGTTTTCTGATCCGTTGTTAGCTCAAATGAGCCAGGTGAATTCCTTTGAAATAAAAATAAACACATTTGTCATTGCAGGACATTGGATTGATGAGCTTAGGTGCGACAGATGAACAGATTGAAAAACTGGCAACCGTATGAAACAATGAAGACACATATAATATTTGTTTTCAGGTTTATTGGTTCATAGTAGAGTTCGGTTTGTGCGAAGAAGATGGAAAACTGAAAGCGATTGGAGCAGGTTTGCTCTCAGCATATGGAGAGCTCATGGTTTTTTATCCCGAAAACGAATCTCGTTTATTTCTTTTTTTCAAGCATGCCTGTTCTGATGTACCTGAGCAAAGAGAGTTCGTTCCTGAACTGACAGCCATCCAGAAGTATGAAGACAGTGAATATCAGCCTTTGTATTTCAAAGCAAGGAGTATCCAAGATGCTCTTGTCAAATTGAGGTAATTTTAACAACTTTTACTTATTTTACGTAAATTTCCCCTTTCCACGTAAGTTTCGTTTCCCACGTATTTCAAGCCGTTCATATAACTTACGTTTTCCACGTTTTTCACGGCGCAAACGGTTTTCACGTTTCCACGTTTTCCACGGAAACGCTGATTCGTGGCGAAATATCAGTTGCCCGTGTGAGATATTGTCGACCGGTTGATTCCGCTGTGCGTAAATAATATTTTTAATTTCAGACAGTACGCTTTGTCCATGAATCGCCCTTTCTCCGTCATTTATAACCCAATCACTCAAAATGTGGAGGTAAGTTCAAACCACATTAACCTAACGTTGTCATTTTCTTCAGATGGTTAATAGAGTGTCCGATTTAAACGCTGCCTTTGATAGATTCCGCCTAGAGTTCTCTTCAATCAGCCAATCTTTCGATGTCATAAACAAGAAAACAAACTAATTTGATTTTATACAGAAGGGCTACTACTACTATATATAATATATAATTAACAATATAGAATGTTTCTGAGATAACATTGCTTTAATGTCATTTGGTACCTGTTTCAAAATTTAACAATGAATTTGTCGTTTAACCAAAGCATGCGATTGGTTTAGTTAGTGTTATGGAGTAAAATCTGTCTCGAAAATATTTTACATGACATGTTCTTTCTTCATTATCTTTTAGTTATAGAACTTCTATACAATTTATGACCTGGCTGTTTCAACAGCCTGACTAGACGCAACAACTTCGTTTTCAAACCGATTCTGCAGGACTTGATAACTATTGCCTCCGTTTTCAGCTCGGTTAGCGTGTAGGGGATTGTTGAAGTCCATATCTATGTCTTCCAGTCTTTCTAATTGAGGTTTGCCAATGGCCCGAATGTGTAGCAGACAAATCATGGTTATCAGAGTACCTATATAGATTTCATTATGTATTATGGATGAGTTTCTTTGCTTACTGAATAATGAAAGGTAATCAACAGCTGTATGAATTCGCCATTGCAGGCTCAAATCGTCTCCAGTGCCTCGGTAGTCCATATGGGTAAGACAGTCAACAAACCGAACTTAAAAATGAGATTAAAGATTCCGAAGTTTTGGAAATGCAAAGCATACCAGCTGAAAGACATATTAGGGAATCAATTGTCATTGGGTATTTGTACATTTTCTCGCAGCAAACAATCTGAAATGCAACAGAGATTAAAATCCAAGTTCTGTTGAAAACCTGATAAAGAGGATAAACAACGAGGGAAATGGCCAAGGAGAAGTGATAGATGGACCCATAAATAGTCAATAGCGGATGTATGTCGTCGAATGTTCTATCACGTAGGCCCAATGATATCAAAATTAGTAATGCTCCCGTGCACATCGATACTCCTAATGTCTGAAAATAGAAACCAAATGCCGAACTCTGTTCCGCTTGTTCTTACTCGGACAACATTCTCAAATCTGCGAGTCCTCTTCTTATCAACATCATTCATTTCCCGGTCAACGACATTTAAATGAAATATTCGAACAAGGATGATTCCATAAATGGCACACCCAATTAGGACAGCGAAATGAGCCAGGGTTTCGACCAGGTGAACTATAGAATATGTAAATTGCTTTCAGTTGGTTCTAAATAGGAATGGTACCTCGGTTACTGGATGCTCTTCGCGAGCACGCATCTTCGTAGATCTCACTTTCGCACATTTTGAGGGCAAAATATCCATTATGAGTGAGGTAGAAGTAACTTCCTATTTGGAATAGCGTGGAATTAGCAGTTAACAAGCATACGGTAAACCTTCAAAGGAAATCAAATTGTTTGAGTTTCAGGGCGAAAGGAACTTACGACAGCGGCAAAGTAAGAGTTGCGAAACCTGGAATGATCGAAACTAATGCCGAAACAATTAGTATCAGCAGGTAAAACGGCGTTTTCTGTTCACTGGGGTGGAATAGGGTGTAGAAGAGATTGTTGAAAGCCGCATATACATCCAGAACTACTATCGCAACGAATGCCACTAAGAACAGAGAACATAACCCAATGAAGAGATTCCTAACGTTAGTTTGCAAGCGAATTTTGCAGGTTCCAGGGAACTAAAATGACCATGGGAATGGCGTTTAATTCGATTATTACTTGTGATAATTGTGCCAAAGCTAGAGAAAGGAGTATGAAGGCTTGTATGATGCCTAGCGCAACTTCTGATGAACCCAAGAAAACCAAATTGTTGTACCCTCTCTCTAATGGCAAGGCTTTGTTTCCCAGCATTTGCCTTGAAAAGGAGTGAGAAAAAATTGCAAAATTGTTCGTACCGATAATCGACCCATACATAGAATATTGCGGGCCACATGAGTGTACAACTCAAGGCCATTGAAACTCCTCTAAGTAGATCACTGCCATCCGCGGATAATACCGTTACCACTCCTGTAAGTGTTTGTTTTGTCAAAGCCTAGTAGACACAAAATACCGCAAGTGATAGCTGTCAGTATCCATGCAGGTTCATCTATGGTGTAATTGATGAAGTAGACTGAACGAATTCGTTGACTCTTGTTCAAGTTCAGCTCAAGTAGAAACACAACGGCTCTTAGGACTGATACAACTATGAGACCAGTTCCCAAGCCGAGTATGGCGCTGTTTTTTCTCTGTAATGTCTAAATGACAGTTTTTCCCTTTCTGATGATGAGTGTGCTAATAGTGCATGAACCTCACTCTCGAAATGAGTTTTGAAAAGAGAACCTAGTAGAATTGTCAAAGTGAGCACACACACACACTCACACTCACAATCTTATCTATTTGTTTGTCTTTTGTTCTCATTTTAACACAAATATCTTAAAAATTGTTCAAAACTAATTCTCGATCTTTTGAATAGTGAGCAAATCGATACATTGGTAGAAGAATCAGCAGAATGCTTAACTCACCGTTTTGGGTAGATGGTTGTTTGATTGCAACAAGTAGCGGATTATGTAGATGGAACATGGTATAGCAATGATACAGACGAGCATGTCCAAAACATTGTAAAGATAGAGATGGTCTTGCTGGAAACAATAAGATGTCTACATTTACTTGTTCGAACTGAGCGAGAGATAAATCAAAAGTATGAAAGTCGAGCGCTATCGCAAAAACAAAACAAAAATCGCAGTCTGAGTTGACTATACACTGTTTATACTAATGAAACAGTCATGAGGTTATTTGCTTCATCTTTACAACTAATGTTTTTGAATTTCATTATATGTTCAAGTGGTCTTGGCGTTGTTTACAGTTATTTACTCTGAAAATACAACGTTTAGTTATCAAAAAGTTGTTTTGGTTTAGAAATAAATAAAAGACAGCGTATGCAACCGTGTTCTGTCCACTCTCCGTCAAAAATAAAGAAAATGCCGTCACGTCAACATTCCACGTGATTTCACGGGTTAATTAGCATAATGGCCGAAGATGTGATTTGGAGCAAAATGATAAATTAGAACAAAAAGAAAATGTGACATAATGGAGAAGCTGTGTAAACGATGATTACAGAAGTTCAAATGGTTATGATGATGTATAGATAAAGAATACCTTATCCTGTATCACAAAATCAAGTTTTGTGTTGTTGGTAAAGCCGCCAATGTACTTCAAATTACTATAATCGGAGATAATGGCAGTGAGTGATATACATACACACAACAAATTGGTCGTAAATGAGAAAACCTTAACGAACAGTTGAAGTAATTAAAGTTCATAATGGCTGTCATAAACAAGTGGAAAACAACGAAACGAACCTCTCCATAATAATCGCCATCAATGGTCGTTCTATGAACCAAGCCAGCACAAAATACAATAGACGTTATCCAATGTGTGTTCAGATAATCAGATAGGTAAAAGTGTCTTTCAGTGTTTTTTAAAGCAGCTATTAAACCATTCAAAACACTAAAAACTCCAGTTACCATCAGAGCCAGTGCCGGCCGACGACCTGTGAACATCGCGAGAGCGCGCGAGGAGTGATGAAGGCTTTTATCAAATGTTTTACTTGTATACAGAGAGGTCTGGAAATTATAATAGTGTGAGAACCATATTAAGCAATTAGAAGAGGAAATTTGAGTGAGAGCTAGACAATTATTTTGTGAGTATGGAAAAAAGAGAAAAAGCCCAATGTTGCATCTGCTTCTCGTGAGAAATATCAAAATTTTCAATCTTTGTTTCAAATGATTGGAATGGCAGTCACTTTACAAGGAAAAATCGATGAAGAGCGTTTGCTAAGGCCAAATATGAGAAAAGTTGGGGATCATCTGGTGGTCGATGAGACATCTTGAGAACTTGAGGTGACAAAAGTGTAAAAGACACAACTCAGCAGTCATAGTCATAAATAGTTTTTAAGTTATTTTTAACAACAGGGAAATCGCTAACAGCTCTCAGAGGAAGAAAAAGCATTTGTGAGTGATTCTGTCCCAGCCAGCAAGGAATGGGGGCGGAACCATAGAAATTGTAGATAGAGTTGTATGGTTTCACGAATATGATGGAAAAGGAAGAGGACACACTGGATAAAACTTATTTGAAGAGGCAAGGAGTTAAGGTAAGTGTTTTTAGTCAGAGATTGAGAGTGAGAATGTTATGTTGCAATGGAATTGTATGACGGTCATACAATTGATTGATTCCCATTCATAAAACATATGAGAAGTGAGAGAAAGAGAGAGAGAAAGGCTAGAGAGTCTCATCCATATATGTATATAATATGAAATGTGTGATGTCAAAACGTTCATGCCCAATTAGATGGTGAACATCTTTCTTTCATTTTCCCGAACATTACACCGTTTTGTTTGTAAAATCGTACTGAACACATTGTTTTCAAAAAGACTTTTATGAAACAGAAAAGGTTTGGAAGTACAGAAGTGATTGGAAGTAATACTAAGACAGTCAATTAATACAGTACATTTAAGGAATGCCATTCAAAAGATATTTTAAACATCTAACCCGCATGAAATGACTAAAGCAAGTTCATCTCTACATCAAACAAGACTAAAACGTTAGTAATTATGAATATTAACCCAGCTTATAAGGAGTATTTCGATAATATGAAGTATCCAGCAGCTGCACTAGCAGCTCCGGCCACAAACACGAACTGTAGGGCATATCGAGGGATAGCACTCGTTAAATGTCTCGGAGTGGTAGTCACCTTAAGTAGACTTTTAACTGTTTATCTGGAATATAAACAAAACCTGGTTTTTATACTCTTGGAGATAACGCCCCCTGAGAAGGCAGGGTTTCAGCAAGCGAGCCAAATACCTGAAAAACGAGCATGTTTCTAGCACTGTTCACTAGCCCACTCACTTAGCATCAGAAAGAAGAGCATCGAGTGGAAGTTCATGAGGCATATTCGACAACAACTGATGGATGAATGGCATTTCTCTGCAAAATTAATTAACTTATTCATAGAAAACAACTTTTTTGAACCGTTCGCACGACAGAATCGCAGATTTACGGAAAATTACAACCGTGGAGCAAACATAGACCGGAAGCAGCGGGTGTGAAGCCAAGAAAAAATCAAAGAATCGCACAATCTGTTTAATACAACTCTCTTAATGATGATAAAAAAGGAAAAACCTGTGGATATTGCTGGAGTGAGTGACTGAACCAAGTTAAAGGCCAACTAAGAGCGAACAAAGAGCCAAGTTCAACTCTTCTCATAACTCTTTCTAATTGAGGTTCCACACGCGAAAGAATAACATACCTGAAGTTCAAACATAAGAAATAACAACTGAAAGTAACTTTACATCAAGTCTAACTCTTTCAGGACACTCTCTTCTAATGTCTTCAACAAATATGGATTGAAGCATCCGCTCTTCGCAAGAAGAATGCAAGTCTTCAAAGCCTTCTCTACTCCGCATACTAAGATTAGGGTTAGACACACATCATGGAATCCTGAAGAAAGCTTTCTATCATGTATAATATGAGGTGCAAACCTTGGTAATAGCGATATCGTCGATTTGTTTTCAACACACGAACTATGAGAGGAATAAGCTCCTCTTGCAACGTCAGCCTATGCTTCTCCGTGATGTTAGGAGGGAAACGTTTTAAGGTTCTGTTCACATCTAACTCCACCTGTATTCAAGCATTCAACATCACATTCTCATTAAGATTCTACATACCTGTTGCCACTCTGGATGGTTTCTAAGCTCCTCAATACTAATATCTTCGACGTTCTGAAATGAACAGTGAAATCTGGCGAAGTACAATGATAATCATACCAATTCCGAGTCTTCTGAAGTTTCAGAAATCTGTGACAAACCTGATTCGAAGTCTGAATCAGCAGTTTCATCACAATCATTGTCGTCAGTTTTAGAAACTAAATTGGCAGCTAATATAGGCCAAATGATGGCACGGAATTCGTCATCAATAAGCCCCCCAGGAGAAGATGCGAAATGTCTTAGGTCATCTTGAAAGTACAGAAATAATGAATCATAGACATGGGGAAAGACTTACCAATATAGTCAGGCAGTTCCTCTTCTGTATGGTCCTGCAGAAATTTGGAAATAGCTTCTCTCTTATTTCTTAACAATCTCCAACGAGCCATTTTGATCGGACTTTCAGACGTCTCATCATCCGACTAAATAGAAAACTACAGGTTGAACGAGACAAAAGAAGAAAAGAAAAAGAAGAAAGGAAAAGAGAAGAACATTAAAGACAAACCTCCGTCAATAAATACTTGTCGATATCGTTACAAGAAGCAGTGTTCCATTTATTCCCGTTGCTTAGTTCACGTAATGGTGACGCAGGCTCTGATATAGAAGGCATCTACGGGCCTAACGGTCCAAGCGGAGGCACAATCTTACTATTTCGATGAATTTTGATAGTAGCAACACCTGTAAATACAATGAATATAATGAGAACGCCATATAAGGGAAGAAGATATGACACGGTAAATCAACGTGACTTAACGTCATACGCTAATCAAAAACGAACAAGATTGTTATCTCATTTGACGGCTTGCGAAACAAAGAAGAAATTTTCATGATGATAGAATATAGCTTAAGATTTGTTTAGCTTTATGTTTTGTATTTGTTTTAATGATGGTCTGCATAACTGGGCTTGTGCGCTTTGTGTGTGAATTGACGTAAACGTGGTGTTCTAACAGGGTTCAGCTCATTAGTGTTATTCAAGTTTTCTAACCCCCGAATGGCTAAGAATAGCATGAAGAGTTTGAAGTTCTACTTAGATCCATGCTGTCCAAGATCATTTAGGTTTTTCAAGGTACGCATGAGCTCATGAGCATGAAGAAACCTATTTTCAGAGGATGGAAATGCATTTAACTCCTTCAGTTGTAGTGCCTGTTAGCAATTTCAAAATATCCTTCATGAAGAAAATAATTGAGAGTTCTAAAGAGGCAGTGGAGCAAGGTAGATAATCCTGGGTTTCTTCATTGCCATTTATCTCTTCGCAGATTTAAAGAAAGATTTCCAAGAAATGTTTGTTGCTCACGCTTCAGAAGGCTGTGACGCTGCTCATGTAGAGGTTCCTTTTTCATTTTCCAGCTTTCGTCTACGTTAGAATATTTCAGATATATAAAACCTACTTGGAGCATCGTTCTTTGTTCCCTCATAATTATATCACCGCAATCAAAGAACATTTCCCGAGTCTCCTCATTAAAAATTTTTCTATTCTTGGACATCGTTTATACAATGAGAATCTACCGGTACATCGAGGATGTTATTTATCTACTTGTGCTAGACTTGGAGGACTAGAACTTCGGTACGAGTTGCTTCAATTAAATTTGAAAACATCCCACGAAAAATGCTTGTTTCCTCAATTACAATAACAATGTTGTGGAAAAATCGGGCATGACCTTCGTGTGCAACGTCGAAATCAAAATTTTTGCAACCGTACTTGGCGTGGATTTTTATGAATGCAACCAATCTGTGAGAAAATTTGAAAAAAGAATGCGACCGCTCTGTGCGTGTTACGTGTTACGAATGACTTGTTGAATGCAACCGCATCAACTTAATTTCACTTAAAAAATGAACACGACCGCTCTGTGCTAAGTGAAATCAATTAATGCAACCGCTTCTCGATTTGCAAAAACTAAAAATGAAACTTCATATTATAGGGAATCGGAATACATCATATCACGGTTAACTCATCGTTCATATAGGAAAACTGTTGATAAAATAGCCATGGATTGTGCTAAACGTGGTGTAAGAATTGTGTTATGTATATTCTGAGTTTTAATGTTTCCATTCAGATGCCTATGGCTCCGTATGTAGAATTGATTACTAATGAGGATGAGGAAAATTCAAAGATTCTAACAGATATGAATGAAGAGGAAATAAGCAGTTATCTTATCAAGTGATGGAATTATGCGTTACTGACGTGGAATGTGCGGCCTCGTACGCAAAGTTGTCGGCAATTGGTCCGAGCGCGAATATTACGGTGTAGACTTCGGCAACGCACCGCCCGTCCAGTTTCTTGTTATATTTAAGTTATTTTTATTTTGTTTTGTTTTGAATAGTTTATAGTACCTATTGTGAATATGTTCGATGAAGAAATTAATTAAATGTATAAGCTTAATATAATGGAGATGTACTTTCGCTATGAGCCCTGTAGAAAGATCAGCAAAGTGATAGTTTTATAGAATGTCGTTCCTGCGACCTCCCCCAGCCGGAACCAAGCTCGTTCCATGGGTACCAGACTTGATCTTTATCCCTATCTCTAGAGCTGTTGAAAGAGTAGGAGTATACTTCTACAACAGGTTGGTAATAAATATATTATTCTTTTGATCACAATGTCTTTCAGAGTCCTCAACAAGACCGAAGTTGGTCTCCTCAACAAGAGATACAACAAGAACGTCCATGGACCTTACTGCCACTGGCGTTATTACGGAAAGCGTGAGTTAATTTGTTTTCTATAGACGTTGTGAATTTGTCATAATGCCCATTATGATTTTGTTATTTGTCTTACTTTGCTCTGATAATTTGATTTTGTATCTATTTCCAGTTGACACTAAGCTTATGGATGTAAAGCTTGCTGAGCTTCCAGCTTGGATGGCTCGTCGTGAGAAGACTCCAGGAGCCTTCTACAATGAGTTGATGCGCAACATCTGGAGAGTCCACAATAAGTATTACTCCGGACCAGTCTACAGCAACACCGTACGGAGTTTTAAGCTTAATATCCATATTTAAATTTTTTTGTTTTCAGGTCAAGACCATTTTCCGTTTCATTTTCGCCTACTCCTTCCTTAACTGGCTGGTTAAGTCTCACCGTTACCTTGATTTCCAAAAGACTATGTATCATTGGTAGATCTGTCTTGGGGAGGACATAGAGTCCGATAGTGTTCAGATTGTTTTCAATAAATAGTGTAAAAGATTTTTCTTGTTTTCCAGATGGGTTTTCCCTTAGTTAACATATTGTGTCCTATTAACACCAACTTAAACATTTAACAACGAATCTAAAGGATGTCCAGAGGGGTTCTGCTAATTCTCGAAGGTCTCGATAGAAGTGGTAAATCCACACAAGCCAAGAGACTAGTGGAATATATTAACAACTCTGGTCGAAAAGCAATCCTTATACCTTTCCCTGGTTTGTGTGAATACTAATTCTGTGAATACCATTTTTAGAGAGGTCGGATCCTTTCGGACAACTCATTGATAAATATTTGAGAAATGAGATTGACATAAACGAACAGGCTCTCCACTTGGCTTTCTCAGCCAATCGCTGGCAAATGGTTGGATTTTCTGTTTCTTTCAGATTCAATCAGTATTTTACAGGAGTCCAAAATCCGCAAACATATCGCTGAGGGAACTGATGTCGTGTGTGATCGTTATGCATTCAGTGGAGTGGCTTATTCTATGGCGAAAGGTTAGTTTAGTCTTTACATCAAAAATGGTTGAAATCGATCCCCGGGGTTGTGTGTGTGTAATTCATTCTGTAATTGAACAGTAGATGCTTCATAAAGAAGGTCTCTATCATCTTCGTTTCTTGAAGAACGAATGTAGTCTGTCAGGTGCATGATCTGTAATGTAAACATCTCGTCATTTCACATGGAGCCTATCCCATTATGGTTATCCCTTGAACCTTCTCTTGTCAATAGCCATATGTGTGCAGCGATAACTTCACTATTTTGTTTGTTCTATATTTTTGCAATTTCATCTACTGCACACGGCTGTCTATTATGCCTTTTATTCCTTTGACATCTCTCAGCAGCTCTCCATCCCTCTAGCTCGCCTGCGGATCTACGACCTCATAAAATCCGTTGTGTTTTAAGGAGATGATTTCGTAGACAGGTGCAATCAAGTGATTCGCTCCCACTAATTGCAATCAAACGACAGGGAAACCTAGAGCGCTTTGGCGAGCACCTGTCGGCAATTACTCGTTTTGGCATTGCTCGTCCAACAGGTTCTTGATCAGCTGAAGAAAGCTGAAGCTGCTGGCCCCTCTCTTCTGAATCTTCTGGAATTCGGGAAGAAAGAGGAACAATATCTTTCGTCAGGTGTGTGCTCATAATCGATGGCTAAGATGGGACCAAGATGGCTTGTTGAGGAGAGCACAACGATTAGTCCGTCGACGTTGTCGTTTACTAGTAGAGAAGATTGCTAAGCGGAAGGAAGGAAGCAAGCGATTGGTCGGCCAAGCAGTTCTTATTGTCTGTCAGATGGCTCCCCATGGCTCCTTTTCTTTTTTGTTCTGTGGGAAGCACAGACAAAACGATCATTTTCCTTTTCTCATTATCAACTTCAAACTTACATAAGCTCATCCGGAAAGAGTATATGACAGTAATTAGAAGGAGAAGACGTTCGGGCGGTCCTCTTGATTGCAATTAATTTGATGTTAAATGGCCTTCTTAATTGTTGAAGGTTGAAAGCATGAAATTATTATAACTTAAAAGAGTGCGACATCAAAACGGAGCTGCGTAAGTGAGGTGTAAACACAATCTTTTCCTTGTTGCTCTTATTCGGTAAGAGATGTGTGAATCTATTGAAGCGTTAGTAAGATGGCTATTCTGCCTGTGGTTTGACTTCTGTCCAAATAGCTTCTATTGGGAGGCTTGAGCTTAGCAAGAAGAAGTCACTTTATCTTACTACGGTAGCTAAAACCGGAAACAGATGCATATAGTGCTCATCGAGTATATTTTTCTTTGTTTGAAGGCTTGGATGAGCGTTGGGCTAAACAACCAGACATTGGATTGCCAAATCCGGATGTTGTTTTGTTTTTCCAAGTAAGGAAGTCCTCTCGTGCAGGTGTGCAATTGTTTTTTAAGGTTTCTGCAGAAGTTGTTCGTCAACGAGGTGGTTTTGGAGAAGAAAGGTTGGAACGCGAAGACCTACAGAAGAGAGTTTCTGCCATTATGGAGACGTTGAGAAAAGACAACTGGAAAGTGAGTCCAACTCCGATTTTACTCAAGTAACTCGTGATTGAAGAACTTGAATGCTGATGGAGACATTGAGACTGTTCATAAGTCAATCATTGATATCTACCAGAATCTCGACAGATCTAAGAGTCTGAGCAGCATAACTGAATTATAACTTCCTTGCCATGGATGATGAAACGGCTAAGTATTTGTGAAATTGGTGTGATTTTAGATCTCATGATCTATATAACCTTTTTATTGTTCTCTATTCATTTATTTACACGGATAAAGACAATTTGTGAAGGTTTTTTGAGCGCATAAGTAGATAGAACGGAGAAAAGAACCTGGCTGATGGGAGAGTGGACGATTTGCATCCGCAATGTCAACTGAATAACTACATTTGGAAGAAAATTATACAGCTTTTGTCAAAGCACCGGTTCAACTAGAAAGAAAAAGGAGGAGAGGGGTAGGATTTATAGGGAGAGGTCCAGCTAAAGGTGGCTAGAAGTTTGCAAAGTACCTTCTTATGCTTCAATTTATAAAATTTCGTTGAAAGAGAGACGAGAGCGAAGCTTTCTAATCAACTTCCTCGGTGTCTTCTTCTTAGTGGCATGATGATGATGATGAATATAAATAACAATATAAATATATGTTCAAATTTGAGATAGATAGATCAAGCAACATATTTGAATAGTTTAAATTAATTAGATGAAAAAGAAAAACAAGGAATGTTTGGGAAATACTATGAGGTGCCTATGGCCAGCATAGTGGCAAGTGGGAGATCAGGAGCAGCATCGTGTTTCTTTAGATGGCGATCTAGGTTTGTCTGTTGTCCAAAACAGCGGTCACAACGTGGGCAACGAAACGGCCGTTCCTTAATGAGCATATGGATATGAGAAGCTTCGGGACTTTGATCTTACCTTGTTGTGAATGTTCCGAACATGGCGTTGGAGATTGGAACTAATGGAGAAGGATCGTTCACAATATTGGCACTAGAAGAGATGAAAAATTAAATATTTATTGTGATCTTTGTTTCTTCAGTTCATCTCTCTCTCACTAGTTTTGAGGAGACGTCTTGTCAGCTGTCTGTTAGCCTTATATGGTTTGTGTATCTAAGACTGTATGTTTTGTGAGCATGAGATGGTGTTGTTTGACTTCTGTTTACCTCCACATCTCTTTCTCATCACTCGATTCTCTTGGCAGATTCAATAAGAGTCATGCACTTGTTTTTACCTCATCATGCCTTATTTGGTTAGAATACCCACTCAAACTGTTAATCTCCTATAGTCATAATATGGTTCATATTGAGGAGAATGTTCCTAGCTCATGGTCTCCATAAGAGGTACTTTACCATCAAATAGCCTCTTAAGCTCCAAGGTATTCGAGCTATCTCATCAACACCCAACATCACCACAGGCATAACCATAAGCATCTCTTTTTCATCAATATCAATTATATTATATTGAAAAGCTCTTCTGATTTATTAAGTGATCTTCTCTCTCTTCCTCTCTTATACTCTCTTCAGCATGTGTATATCATATGAAAGCCCTACCTTATATGGCTGTTCTCCTGTATGTGTTCGGAGGTGTCTAGTGAGATTTGCCGATCTGGGAAAAACCTGAAACGTTCGGCATAAAGAAGATATTGAATTGAGGATATCATACCTTCTGGCAGAATTTACAAGTATATCTGTCTTTAGCAGACTTGGGTAATTGGGAGGAAAGAGAGAAAGGGCTTGTTCCGCCGTATGTAAACGGTCTTTGGAGCAGAGATAAGAAGCTATTGGGACTGAAAAGAATTGATTAGAATATTTCATCCTTAATAATATTTAAATTATATAGCCTATACTAATAATCAAAGAGACGTTTCCATATAAACGATGTACCCGATTACTGGCAAGCTGCTAATCCGGATTAACCGGAAAATTGGAATGAGGTAACAAACCTGAATGGATTTAACGTTGGCAAAGGTTGTACGAGGTCATCTTTCTTCACATCATCATCTTCATGTCCAGAATCAGGGCTTTCACTGTTCTCCTACAAAGCATATCCGTTGTACATGTGTTCGAATAAGGAAAGAGAGTATACCTTTCGTTCCTTTTCTCGCTTGGTTTCAGAACTGGGAGAAGTTTCTGAATCGGAGCAAGGACTCTTTCGATCGCAAGGTGAATGCTCACTGGCATGTCCACTAAAAAACTATTATTAGAAGCATGTCTCATTTTGTTTTTGGAACTGATCTTTACAAAGAAGTGCATGAGGGAGGGAAAAAAAGATTATAAGCTAGCCAATAATCCAAGCATTTTAATTATACGCTTTGGATAGCTTTGATAATTATAATTTTCAAGCAATTGGCCCGAAAAGGCAAAAGACAACACGCACAAAATGATCATAAAAATCTGAGAAAATGGCGAAGAAGAAGATAATCAAATTTTTTTTCTTTTTTTTTCCGTTGTGATGGTGACAGAGAGAATCCGAAAAAAAAGCTTTCTGAGCTCAGAATTGTATATAAGGTTAATTCTTTTAAAAGCATTGCGATAAAAGACAGAATGAGGGAGGTCTTCAGAATATTCTTAACTCTCAGTTTTTTTCCAATTCAATTAGTATGCACGCCAAATGGAAGAGCAAAAACTTGCCTTGATCTTGGAGAACTTTCACCATCTGAGACAGCAGCCAGCATTTTACTATAAGCTTCCATACCCGGAAATATTCCAAATGAAAAAGGCTGCATCTATAGATACGAAATTTGTCTGATTGGTTGAAGGTATTCCCTTTGTACCTGAGATGCTATCTGCATGAAATTAGCCCAATATTGTGAAGGTAACATGGGTGCCATGAGAGGTGCAATGCTGGCAAAAGGAGAAGCAGCAGTAGCCACGGCTCCTGGCGTTAGAAGATTGTTGGTCGTTGGAGTGCTTGGAACAACTGGAGCTGCCATTGGCTTATATAAACTAGCGGCCATTTCAGCGACCGTACGATGCTGAAAGGTACGAGATGAAATAAAGAAGATGAAAAAAAAAAGAAGAGCGAATTCGGTAACAACAGCTTGTATTCTGGTAGTGAGGAGGTGGGATTTAGATATCATTCGATGAGTGCTCCTATTGGGAGGAGGAGCTTAAGCACGACTGAATAAGGACAAGAGACTACCTACAGATTAAATGAGATCGAATGAGAGTGCGTGAAATCTCGGGAGAGGTCAGGAGATAAACAAAGGCAAGAGAAATAGAAGATGTGAGAGAATTGAGAGACAAACAGAATAATGAGAAAGAAGAAAGGTATGAGTTGAAATAAGGTGCAGCTGGCATCTCCTGCTGACTGACGGCCAAAATCGGGAAGGCGATGTCGTTTGGTTTAAGCTTCCCTGTAAACATCAGCCTACCTTTGGCTCTAATTAGCTGTTCCTTATATGGCGATCTGCTATTGAGCTTATCCGCATGTGTCTCTGTACCTCTTCTCTTTCACATTCTCTCGATGTTATGGATTCGTTGCTCGGAGAAAAATTCTCTTCCAATTGTAGATATCATTATAACAAGCATTTAGGGATGAAAAGAGAGAAAATAAGGGATAGCCGAACAATAAAATGAGGAGGTCGATTAGATATTACCTATGACTATCCTTCAATGCTTCTGAGGCTTCAATCAGAATGCTCATAATTGAAGGAACAATAAAAGCAATTTGAGGTATGCAAGCCGAATTTAGTATTGAAATCACATTTGATGAGACAAGGTTATTCATGAGAGTCTCAGATGATGATGATGATGATGATGATGGTTGCTATACGGATGTGAGGAACATTTCAAAAGAAGACGAAATGTTGGGATAGAAGAAAGAAAGTCTTTGATTCTTCAAACTCACCAAATGAACTCGACGATGTCGGCAAAGATTTGAAAATTGCGTGTAAGCTTTATTACAGATGTGACAACGGAATGGCTTTGAACTGCAATGGATGTGTGAGTGCTGCTTCAAACCACTGAAAACAAAATTATAACTTATGGTGGCTTGGTTGATCATTTCTAATTTGAGGTTATCTTCATAATTATTAGAATTCATCTTCAATATCTATCGCCATTGACGACATCACGAAAAGCCGAGAGGGGGAGAGGGGGGACGGAAAGATATTCTAGAGAAAAAAATTCTCAAACTCGAACATACTTTGGCTTTAAAAGGACAAATGAACGCTCGGGGAAGTAGTTCGAATCCATTCAGTACTTGTGTTTCGTGAATAACTTGGTTATGAGGCGTCAAAGTATGGAAGGATCGCCAACTTCAAAGTTTATTTTTTTTGAGAAAGGGAGAGAGAAGGAACAGAAATCTGCCGAGGCGATGACGATGATGTTCAGAAGTCGCAAAAATAAGAATAACAACGAGATTGAAAAGAGATGGTGGCGTTTAAGCTGTCGTCGACGTCGTCATTGTCAATGAAGTTGGAGGGGGGGGGGATTCTGAATGTCATGTTCCGGAAGAAATACTTTCTCATATTTGGAAGTCGGTAAAGGAAATGAATGAGAAATCTGTGTGTTTTTCTCGTTGGAAAAGCCTATCTAACACAGACAACAGCTTCACAACAGCAGGAGACAGAACCTTATTTGGCTTCACAGCTGATGAACAATTCTGAACATTTGCAACTTACCAACTAAGGTATTTAGTCTTTTTTTCACATTTCCTTGTACACACACACATATATACACACATGTATATATACAGATGCTTATATGGATATTTGGAAATAGAAGGAGAGAATCAAAATATAATAGATAGGCAAGTATAAATTTTGTTTTCGTGACGGGACCGACTGGGAGCCCAGATGACGACTAACTTCGACATAATATGATTTTAGAAGTTTGGTAGTACGGTAGTTGTGTGTGTCTGTGTGTGTGTGTGTTTTCACTCCATCTTCTGATGCCTCTTCTTTGCCTTTTTTTAGCATACTGTATGTTTAAAGAAGAGAAATATGATGAAAGGAAGACGATAAGAAACTTCTGTTGTCAACGTCTTCATCCTGTTCCTAACTCATATTGAACTCTTCACCCCTCTCTTCACTCTTCCCTATCTCCCCTCATTCGTTGACTTTCTATCGTTTTCTCTTCCTTTTTCATCATCATGTTCATAGTCAATTCCTTAGAAGGAGTATTAAAGCACTTGGTTGAACAAACAGTCTAAATGCATTCGCACACCTGAGAAGGAGAAAAGAAGACGTAAAAGAGAAGACGAATTCAAGCATTCCTCTTTAAAAACGTCGATCTTCATGTCTCTCTCAAGCAGCAATGCTATGGATTACTGTAATGAATCTTCATCCCCAACAAGTATGTAAGTTGAGGACGAAGAGTAGTGAATATTGCCTTTTAAAGACATTATATATATATTGCCCTCAATATGCTAAGTCAAACCCATTTTCGGAAGCTTTACAGGAGGAGTCGTTGAGGATTTATGAAGCATTATGAGCTCACAGGAAGCACACGCCGGCTTCGAACACGCAGAAAAGAAGGTTGCTTGTGCAGAAGGCTTGAATGAGCTATCCGCTTCCGGCAAGGCCATATAAGGTCGCAGGCTGTTGGTTAGGCATGGCTGAGCCATCTGAGCATTGTCAAAATATGGTTTATGTCCTTTTTTACAAGATAAAGCTTGTAAAGTCGGTAAGGCTTATAAGGCGCGTTAAAAGGAAAGAGGTAGGGGGGGGGGTGCTCAAAAAGGCTTGAGCTTTCTAAAGAATGCCTATAAAAGGAAGTCGAATAGACCAATTTATTCGAAAATCTGTTTATACCTTATACATCTCTTTCGGATCTCAGCTGTTTTTGGATCTGTCAAAGAGAGAGAAGGTCTTCCAACGAACTAACTGGCTGAAGCTAAGGTAAACACTTGGGAGGATTACGGTAAAGCAGATCCTCACTCTGCTCCTCCAGCTAATATGTGCTATCTATCTCTCTCTCTCTCATTCCCCCGAATGTCACCTAGCCTTCGGCACGTTGTCGGCATCTCTTTTGATGTATCACTCCTAATAGCTTATGAGGAAAGTAAGAGGTAATTGTAGTTTCTCGTTAGGTTTGAAGCTTAGACAGATTGACAGATTTGTGATGAAGAGGGACGGTAATTTCAAAATGAAGGCAAAAGGAAGACTTATATAGTATCTTTCAAGTAGAGCAGTTAATCTTAAAACAAACCTAGCACTCGAGAAGCTTTTTGGACAAACGGTGCACTTGTGAATTTGCCCTTCGGCTGGAATCTGTCCGGGCTCAAGCTCTCCACTTTCTCTGCCACCGTCAGTTGAAGCTACGTCACTACTTTCTTCTTCTTCCTCAGGTCTGAAAATATTTAATTGAAAATACTAAATTTGGACAAAGTGACTCGAACTTGGAGCAGCTGCATGAAGCTGCAAGAACGATAGAGTGAAAAGTTGAAGGAGATGTAAGAAGAGAGAGAGAAAGAGAGAGAGAATTTCCAGAAGTAAGGAAAGATCAAGATAATTGAAATCTAGCAAATGACCTGCTTCTTCCATATTCTTCTCGTAATCATAATTGAAAGACTGGGAACGATCACCTAAACGCCCGAGGGCATCTTTCGTTTCTCTCACCAGTTTTTTCGTGTAATTATGTAAGATTGTTGAGAGGATAACGAGAATATGCAAAATACATCATCAGAATTGGAAAAAATCGCTCTGAGTTTGAACATCACAGACGTTTATCTGCGAAAACAGCTGCTATACTTGAGTTGTAGTAGTCAAGACAGCGAATTTATTCAAAAAAGGGAAGAATGAGTTCAAATATGGAATTGGAAAGGTACATACGGAAGGTTTTGATAAATTACAGACAGAATACTTGAGCACGAAGCCATCTGTCCCATAATTGAGATGACAAGAGAATTTAATGTTTTTTTGGCCAATTTCCCTGGAGGGGGAAGGAGGGTGGGACGAGAACGGAGAAGAAATGCTCTTTTTTGGAATCAAAAACTGACTCGAGAATCAAAACATTCGAAAGGCATAACGAAGACATGCAAATGGAGGGAAGTCGGAACATCAACACTAGTAGAGAATAGTGAGGACTTCGAAAATGGTAGTCGTCGTCGTCGTCGTTGCAATGATGATGATGATGATGATGATGATGCTGATGATTCTGATGATGAAGGAAAACAACAAGTTATGTAATGCTTTCCGTTTCTAACGACGAAACTACGCCACACATATGGGCCAGTAGGCCGATTTATAGACATGCCTATACATGGTAAAATACTAAACTGTTTAAGAAAAAGAACTATTTGTATGGCGAGAGATAAGGTGGTGGTGAGAGAGAGAAAGACAAGTATGATTCGGCGCTTTGACTTCATAGATATGGGCTGACGATAGTAAGAGAAGAGGCTGATGAGACGACGATCAGCAAAAATCATCGTCGTCGTCTTCGCAATGCTTCGTCTTCCTCCTCACAGGTAAATCCGAACATGCTTTCAGGAACTAGGATCTGTCAGATTAATTACAGTCAAGTAAATCGCGACAGTAGATAGCTAGTAAAATGAGAGGAAAAGAGAAAAGAAGATTTTCTTCCAAAATGATTTGTAGACTACCAAATCTCCTCACAATAATTAGTGAAGAATGAAAAAAGTTGTAAATAAGACATCGAACGGAGACAAAATTGCGTCACCTGGTGGCATATGCCTGACGATTCAATCCTTGTCTCTCTCTATCTCTTCTACTCTCTCTCTCACTATTCAGGAGAACTAATTACAGTACAGCGTTCATCCAAAAATATTTTCTGTTCTCTATCATACTCTCATTGAGATCTTTGTGCGGATGAAGCTGAAACTTGAAAAGGGAGGGAGAAAGCACGAAGCAGGTAACGGAAGGAAAAAAGAATTTTTAAAGTCAAAAGTCAAAAACGAGATGATTTTCAGTTTGAAAACATCGAGTAACAGTTTACCTTTCGTCCTTGCCGTCGATGTCTATCAGCTCGTCGTCGTCTTCTTCTTCAACGTCGTCGTTGAACCTGGTGAGCAGAAGACGTTCACCACTAGTGATAGCTCTGGCTGTTTGTAAGAAAGTCTGAAAGTGATTCGTTTAATCGAAATTTTCTCTATCAAGTTTTTCATAAAAGGAAATGGTAATGAGAAATGTCAAAACATAGTACTTCTTTTTCGGTTGTGACACAGGTAATCACGAATCCGACTAAGGACCTGATTTGGTGTTCAGCCAAGGGCATAAGCAGGGAGATGGGGTAATAGAAAATGCTGCGAGGGAGAGATAAGTTAACAAAATCGGATATTCGGATAGTTTTTTGGGATGAAAAACGTATCTTCAAGCTATTACTGACCTTGTTATCCAACTGGCGAACACAAATATTAGCGAGTTCGTTCTCGTTGGCCTCTTTTATCAGATTCAATATCAATAAAGCATTTGGATCGTTTGCTGCCGTCTAAAATTTGAAAAAAAAAGTTCGGAAAAGTGTTTTTTATTCTTCTCTCTTACTCTCTCAGTCTCTCTCTATCTCTCTCTCTCTCTTTCGAAAAATAGCTTAAGACGATGAGACAACGGAAGACAATGTTTAACTACTGTATCCTCTATTATATATTCTCTTTTTTGGAATTTTTTTTTCTTCTTGTTATCGGAAGTTGACGAGAAAAATCAAAAGTAGGGAGAGACACATACAATTGGAATCCTCAGCAGTCATGTATGAAGAGCAATATATTGGAATTGTCTCAGCTGGATACCAGTCATCTCACATCTTTCAGAGTATGAAAAATACTCTCAAGAAATTAGCTGAGAGAGAGAGAGATAGATAGAGAGAGAGCGAGAGAAACAATGAGAGGGTATTCCAGAGAGTGAAAGAGAAAAAAGAAGAAGTTTGTAGTCGATATGCAAGGTGGAGCAAGACAAAGATGTTGTAGACATGACAACCACGAAAGAAACTCTCTTTCTCTCCTTTCTTTCTCTTCTTCTTCTTCGTCGTCGTTGTCGTCGTTGTCGTCGTCGTCTTCTGATTGCCTTACAAACGAGAAGACAAGAGGGAATGGAGACAGAGAAATACACTCTCCTTCTTTATTCTCTTCTTTCACTATCTTTCAACGCTTCTCCATCAACTGCTGCAGATTACGGTAATCTCTTATGCCATAATTGAAAACGAAAGTTGATGACAGTGGCAGCAGCTGATTAGACGATAACGACGAAAAAGGAAAGAATTTACGAGACACTCCAGGTGAACATTATTTTTGTTCTTTTTCCCTTTAACTCCCTCGTTTCTCGTATTCTCTCCGCTGTTCTTTGGATCTCTCTCATTGCAATAAAAGGAATAAAAGACCTCGCAAGGTGGAACAGCTTCATCCGAGAAAAGCTTTCATAGAAAACAACAGAAGAGTTTTGAAGACGGACAGAACTTTCTTTAATTTCTCTCTATGTGTTCCTTTCAGCTCCCCTCCTTGCTTTTGTCTTTTCATCTACTTCTCTCCCTCCCACTCTCCCCCCCCCCCCTCTCTCTCTCTCTCTCTCTCTCTCTCTGAACTATAGAAGTATGAGAGAATAGAAGAAATTAACAAAATTATTATGAGAGTTGTGAGAAAAAGAAGATATGCCAAGAAGTGAAATATGGAAATCAGGGATAGGTATGACAGCCCAGATTGAATTTCCTTTTAAGCAAATCAATATGATGAATAAGAAATTGATGAAGAACAAACACAACAAGATTCTCTAATATGGATGTAACTGATAAACGACATCTCCTTCGATCTTACCTTGTCTATGATTCCGATCAGTTTTCCTGCTGGGATCTCCTTGGAAGCATTTAAGGAGTTGCCAAAGTTATCATCTGACTTCACTTCCACACTTCGAAGAAATTCGCCGTCAATGCTCATCTCCTTAAAATGAATGTTAGAAGATGTTCCAGATATGGTAATGACAAGAATAATGGATCAAGAAAATCAAGAAATAACGAGAAATGCCTAAATTTGGTTGAGAAGGAGCTTCTGTGAAAAGTAGGAGATCCCGTCGTCGGAGCTCATCGAGCTGCTTCTCCGCCGCTTCACAAACCACGCCCAACGGCTGGCAGCCAATCAGAAGTCGAGAAGGGCGGAGCGAGACGAGCCTTCCAGCTGGCACAATTCTTTCAGCGTCCATACACACAGACACCCATCCATCCTTTCATGAAGAATACGGTAAAGAGAAGATTGAAGTAGATGCAAGAATGAAAAAAAGAAGATAAAACTTAGGAGATGAGACGGGAAAGGAAGACATCGACTGTTTTCGAATTCTAGCAAGGATATCCATTACAGAATTCATAAAGACACGAAAGGAGATGGCAATGTGATGAACAGGAAACTAAACAAACACTGAGATTTTCACCTTAAATGGACTAAGCTCAACTTCAAAAAGAACTTTCTTCATGCAATTTTACATAATAATAAACTTTCCCCTTTTATGGGAAAGCTGATGAAATGCGAACAGTGGGAACATTGGAAGAAAAAATAGAAAAATTGGATTAACGACTCTCAGATTGTTTTTGAGAGAGAGAAAATGATATGATAATCATCTCATATAATATAATTCTGATATAAAAGCTTGACGATGGCGGATTGAGAAAGAGAGAGAGAGAGAGAGTGAACAAAAAAATGGAAGAAAAGGGGGGGGGGGATAAGACTTGCTGAGCATCTCAGAAGTTATAACTGACGACGACGACGACGATAACGAAGAACCTCCCAGACGACAATTGACGACAAAGGGAATTGTCTTCAGATTTTCTTTTTGCTTATAGATAGAAAAGAAAACGTTAAAAATAGCCATTCGAAATAGTCTTCTGTTTGAAGAGATCAGCACGAAGAGCAACGCCAAAATGATCGACATCTCGGGGTGGAAGATGACAGGAGGACGATCGGAGACGATGAAATCTGGGTCTGGTGCAACTGCGGCTATCCTATCCTTGTCGTTAAGCCAAACAACATCATCATCAGCAAATAGGTTGAAGCTTCTATCACACAGTTTTTCACAATTATTCTTCACAGTTAGTTGAGACGAGGGATGCATGGAAATTTTGAGAAACTCTGCCTTTCTCTTCAGTACAAATATTTGTTCAAAAGTTCGTAGAAATGATTTCCTAACTTGGTTGTACGTTGACTATCCGTCAATTTTACATTCGGAAGTACAAAAGATCTTGATACATAAGAGAATAAACTATATGAATACATGATTAGAGGTAGAAAGAGAATGAGAGAGAGACGGATACAATGAGAGGCAGAGAGAGAGACAGAGAAATGACGAGATGAAGAGAAAGAATGTGCAAGAAAGGAATAACTCCTTATGTATACATCTATATTAAGGAACTGAATAGTTAGTGTACTCATCTATTCAGAAGATGAAAACTCTTCTTGCATCTACCTTCATCTATCTAATCGTCGTGATGAGAAACCTCATCTCCTTGCTCATGGCAATGCTTATCTTATCAAATGACCATATGTATATTCGAGATCATCTGAGCCAAAGCAAAGGATAGGCTGAGAAAGAGCTCATATGAACATCTTCGATTACAAGCCTTCTAGAGCAGAACGAGATTTCTCCTCCATGGAGTACAAATTAAGGCGTGAGATTGAGTAAGAGGGTAAGAGAAAATGAGAAAAGGTGTGGTTCACATCTGAATGAAGGAGAAGCTGACGCTATTTTGGAACTCCTCATTTCTTCCCTTGGTTGCCTCCATTGCCATTGGTCGACGATCAAGCTTGTACAAATTTGAACCAAACTACGTTTTGAGCTTCTCATGCCGATAAAAGGAGAAGCAAATGAGAATATGAAGTCGGATATTAGAATTATCATTCTAAAAAACTGGTAAAGGTGAATGTTATTCTCACGGTAATGTGGAAATGACAAACAAGTTTCGGAAACACAGATTTAGACAAGTGAGTGTTTTTCATTTTTCTTGAAATCTGTCCTATTGCTTAAGCTATTACTGATTTTTAACCTCTCTTTCAACAGGCTTTTTTTCCCAAAAAAAAAATTTCCTGCCTTTCGACGAGAAGGAATCGGATGTGAAAATCGGAGTTTTGAATGTTTGAACCGAAGAGTGAAGAGAGCCGAGAGGAGAGAGGCTGAACTTGCTACATATGGAAATGGGTTGTTTTGGCATTTGATTAACTGCCTCAAAGAACTTCATAAAGACTTTTCTGTCTCTCTCTCTCTCTTCTAAACAGGAGGGAATGTTGTTGCACAAAACGAGGAGTAAAGGAGAATTACTAGAGGTGTGTAGCCTATGGAGGTGCTTTTTGACTAAAATGGAAAAACTATTTACATCTCACATGATTAGATTCCCAGCTGAAAAGAGAAGCAGTCATTCAAATTGGCGAACAACATGTTTTGAGCCAACAAAGTGATGCAAATCGCTAATATCCGTTACCTGAAAAATCAGGAAAAAAGGGGAGCGATTTGAGTCAGCTATCTTCACTTCTCCTTAAAAGGAGATGTAACATGAATTGGAGAAGGCGTCTATGAATACGGTATGTTCTACATTACTGATTCAAAATAGATTAGATGAGAGTTGCGAAAGGTGCATTTCGTCTCAATTAAGCTTCAGCAGAAGGCTGATGTCTTGAATATGAGACGAAGACAAAAGAAGGGAGAGAAAAATCTCGAGGTTATATGAGGGAAGCACAACCCATGTGTATGAAATCGGAAGAAGGCAGCAGGTGGAAGAGAAATGAACAGCTTTGAAGATACGACGGTAGCTATGAAGACTTTTGAACAACGTCGTTCTACGGTGAGCAACTCTCTCAGAATTGGAGGAAGGAGGAGAAGAAGGAGGAGACGAGGAGGAGGTTGAGGGGGGGGGGGGGCAGAAGGCAGATTGAGTGACAGATGCAATAGCCATGTTTAAGAGAGGCAAGGAAAGGTGTATGGAAGGGAAAGAGGTAGCTTAGGTAATCTAAGCCTGAATTCTATATAAATATCAGATTTGAGAAGAGAAGCAGCGAGTCTAAGAGGGAAAAGCTTTATGACTTCATAAAAACTTTTACAGAAATGAGACATTTGATTGTCGTCGTAATATCATTATGGTATATGACCAAATTTGGTTAATATCCTCAGAATAAATGAATGAAGAGAGAGGGAGGGAAAGAGAGAGAGATAGAGAGAGAGAGGGAACTACTAGGAGAGAAATGAGAAAGTAAATCTCATTTTTGGACAGCTGAATTGATGATCAAAGTGAATGAGATAAGGTAATTTATTCTTTCACAACCTTTTATGGCAATTCTATGAAACTAATATCTTCCCAAGAATCCATGACGAAGCCTTCAGACTGTATGTTCACATACTTGCTAACAATGATTGTGATAGATGAATCGTTGAAATCTCTATTGATGAATCCGAGAATGAGTGGGAATACGTCTTCTTCCTTGATTTCTGTCAGTCTCTTCGATTGTATTTGTTCATAACAATAGACTGAAACTACTGCATACTGTCCATAAAAGGAAAAAACTGAGAGAGTGAGAGATGATATGAGAAATACAATATGATACAGAGAGAGTTTCAGCTTTTGAATATGAGAGAGAAGGGAGAACTCCTTTTCTTCATCTTTCCGTTACCACCATATATGTGCAATTGAGCTAAACTGTCACCAACCGTTTTTCGCGTTAAAAAAAATGAAAAGTGAATAGTCTCATAGCGAAAATAGTCTTTTAGTTTGGTTGTTTGGAGAGAGGAAGAGAATTGAGTAGGAAGTTCCTTACCTTAGATGACTAATTCTCTGTATGTCTCTCTCTCTCTCTCTCTTTCATACATCTTGTGTGAGAGAGAGAGATCTGAACAGCCAAGAGAGATCTGCCCATGCTATTAGTCATACCAACGTATTTCTTATTAAAAACTGTTGTTGCAAAGAAATTAATACAAGGTTGGAGAGTTACATGAATTATTAAAAAATGAACGAGAAACGAGATATAAATGAAACTCTGATTTCATTATCGTCATCACCGATGTGACATTTGGCTTTCTGTGATTCAGGTGTGAAGGTAGATTGGATAAAAATAAAAATTGTTTTTGAAAAAGCTATAGAAGCTAGAAGATACAATATAGATGAGAATGCTATCTGGAGAAACGAATACCAATCCATTGTTATCATCTGAAGGTATGAAGAACTTGCTCTTCTTCATTTTTCTTCTATTTGTATTCCCGATGTCATAATACTCTACTCAATGGCATCTGTATGCCTTTTGATTTTATAAGATAAACAATTGCCTTTCGTTTGTTATATATTTCTCTTAGTTAAAATAGTCATTGATCAAATGTGCTCTAATATTAATTATGACGTTATTTCACGTACGTCATAATTGTACGTGAGATCTCACGTGAAGTATATATGATGGCACATTTGATTTATTTTCAAATTGCGCGACGTGGTGAACGGTTGCTTTTTCATATTTCATTTTAACTGTTTATCTTTATAGTTATAGGATTACGTTGAGTGTTTGGATGATCATGCCTTCTCTGCTAATAGGTCACTTCACCTTTTAAAGAGCTCATTTATATAAGCAGGTACATCAACAATAGAAATGATGTATAAATCTTTTATTTTTTCAATTCATAGATGAAGTCCATCATTCACTGGTAACGGAAGACTCACTCTCCCCTTCTCTGTCTATAACCAGACAGATCCTTCAATTCTTTATTCAATTCGTTATTAAATTGATGAGAAGCCATGGACAGAGGTATTATAAAGACAGCAAGTAAGAAAAAAGTAATGAATTTCATACATTCGGAAGAGATCAGGTAATTTAGCATGTATTACAGAAAGAGAAAAGAGATGATATGTGTGTGGGAAGAAATCTGTGAAGCAAGGGATAGAAGCTGAAGCTTGAGAATATTCTGACGACTACAATATTTCATTTGTATAGAATACGAAGGAACATGTCTTCTGATTATCTCCTTCATCAAGCATTTAAAAAAATCATCAAATCAGCAGCTGTGCATCTTGGGATTACTGTAGTCATGAAGACAGAAGGCTTTTTTCTCCTCTTTTACACGTAGACAGAAGTTGTCGCTGACACACACACACACATACACGCACGCTTTTAGCAGATTTTCAATGAACTTTGGCTATAGTAGGAATTCATAGAACGTCTTGATGTGTCAGTTCACCTTTTTTTTCCTTATGACTAAACTTTTAGTTGAAATAGAAAATTCCAGATATGATTCTGACGGCAACAGCAATAGCAGGAGCAAAAAAAAGCTGACGACGTTCTGCTTCTCATTTGCCTTTCATAGCTTATACATCTTGTCTGAACGAGACACACCTCTTCTTCGAAGAAAACTCATTTCAATAGAGTCTTTCTTCATACCTTAATTGACCGGAAAAAACATTTCTTTAGCAGCTGTTCAGGTTAGAAGCCAAACATATGTTTTGATGCAGTCAGAGCATTCCTTCTTTTCCACTACTCATCTTCGTCCTGACAAGGTCAATAAACCATAATTAGGTATTGGAACGTCTTAGACAAGCTTTAGCAGACACAAATATGAAATTTTTGGACAACATCTCCCTGCAATTAACCTTTTAACAGACAAAAGAATAAAATATTTTCAGCGAGAAATATCATCTGTCTTTTCTAATGTCTTCATTAACTATTTATGGAAATGAAAGGGATGTTCTAATAATAAAGTCATTACCTTGCTCTGTTCAAACCCAATCTCTTAAGCTTTATCAGGAAGTTTTATCAAGGACACAAGGGTACAAAGACACAACATATTCTGATTATACCCACCGATTACAACATTCTCTTTATGGCTTTTATCAGAATCTATTAAACATTTTTATGTTTTTTCATCATCCATCCACACGATATGTGTAGCTGTTGCATAACCCTTCATTACTTCTCCGATTTTCCTCCAAATTCATGAATTTTAACAAGTTTTTATGTAAAAAAAAAGAAAAAAAGGAACAAAAAAACAAGAGGGATTGCTTTCAAAATATTTTTTTGTCGAGAAATACGCAATTTGAAGAAGCGCGCCACGTAATATTGCGTATCACGAAAATGGAGGGTGCGAGCGAAGAGAGCGGTCGGTCGATCGTCCGGCTGACAATACTGTTGAATCGGCTCTGTTTGCCCGTACTATGACCTACTAACTTAGTCTTGATATTTATAAGAAAAGAGAGAGACGTAAAATCGATAACCTTCTTGATTATAATCGTCTTATCGATTGACGGTACCTCTCTGTATTGCTAAGCTGTTTAAGTATTCATGTTTCTATAACCTGATGTTTAACAATCGTTTTTTTGATTATTACCTAATGGAGACGAGTGATCCTATTCTTCGACGGTTGCCCGTCCATATGCGAGCAGGAGCTGTACTTCTAGGAGGTCTATTCAGTATGCTCAGCTTCGGGACTGTTTATACTTTTGGTGAGTCCTTTTCAATTTCAATTTCAATTAACTCAAATGATTTCTGCCTCTCGTGCACGAGTGTCTATGTGCGTACGTGTGTGTGTGTGTATGTGTGTGTGTTTATTTCGTTATTGATTTCTTTTGAAACTGAAGCCGTCATCTGTTTTTGGGTTTTGGATGAATTGAATGTGAAATTAAGTGAAAATATTGTTTTTGGTTGGATCGCGAATGATAATGAACGCATGTTTTTCGTCTAAGAAAGGCATTAACTTCGGACAAATTATGCAAATTGCCTTTTTTGGAAGAAAAATCGAACTGAAAAATGATTTTTTTCCAGTCAAATGCGAATTCATAATGAGATTGTTTGTTAACTGTCGTATACAGTAGTGGGAAGTAATAGTTCAGGCAATGAGAAGATGGAAGCAATGCATTCTTAACTTGTTATATTTTCAGGTAATATGCTTCCTTATATGGTTTCCTATTTACGATGGAAAGTCGATCCAACCATGAAGGCTGGCTCCATGATATGGCTGCAGACATTGCTAAGTAAGTTTACTTCTTGTCAAATCTCTGAAAAGGTCGAAAAACGTTCAAGTAGAGATAGAAAGAGAGAGGAGATAGGGAAAAGAAAGAGAATGAGGATCAGTAAGTCTGATTCCTTATTTACCTGTGCCCATAAAAGTCAACGAACACAGATTTATTATATTTCGTGAGCCTAATTTGGTGAGCTTTACGACTTTTGGCAAATGTCTCCATTCAATCAAAACTATCAGATGTTTCACATGTTGTGCGCATACTAAATGATCATATATGGAGAGTGAGGCTTAATTAGAATCAATAATGAATGAGATGTCGTCCTGTTAATGATCTCATTTGATTTTCATGAAGTTTATTGACAACCTGCTGGTCGTTATGCCTATTTACCGTATATGGCTTCCTGATAGTTACATCTAGGGGGGGATAGATACTACTTTTAACATTTTTACTGAAATTTTCATGTTTTTCAGGCGGCGTTCCGTTTGCCATGATAGCCGGAGGCGTTTTAGAAAGACGCATGGGAGGCAAACGAGCAGCTATTCTTGGATCTCTGATGTACACGTTAGTTTTCTTTGGACTTTTTTTCTATCAAAGGCTATGTGAAAAGTATATAATGAGGGAAAATGAATGGAGCATAGAAGACCAATAGGATTTACGGTAAATGCAGCTGGGCATGTGACGTAACGGACGAGAATGTGTTATTATAAGAAGGGGGGGGGGAGAAGATCATCTCCATATTTAGTTATAGCTCAATAGTAATTAGAATAATTGATAATGAGCATTAGGATTGTTGGACAGTTAGGCTGTAAATGATATTTGCAAGGAAGAGGGAAGATGATAGGCATATGAAAGAATAGAAAGACAGTTGATGAAGAAGATTACCTGACAAACAGAAGACCAAAGCGAAATGTTTGATGAGCAAGGTGCGCCTCTTTCTTCCATTGAATCCTTTTCGAAGTCTCCATACATGACAGAAGCGAAACGACCATTGACAGTCGTTTACCGTTCTATATTGTCTGTTTTTGGAGCTTTTATTCAAATATTAAGTTTGTTTTGTCATATTGAATATCTTGCTCTTACCTCTCGCTGTCTAGGATGCCATGAGATCATGGGGCTCTCTGAAGGCAATCCACTAATGGAAAAATGGAATTTCACAATTCAATTTCATTTCTTATCAGAACATCTGAGAGCTTTATTCGTTACATCAAATGAAAATGCAATTTCTACTCCAATGTGAACCTGGGATGAGAGAAGCAGAAGAGGGAGATGTTGAGGGAAAACGGGGAAACGAGAGTCTGAGAATTGCCAATGAGTTATAAGCCAGGTGTTCTGTTCTCCTTGCGTGTCGTGACCAATCAAGCCAACCTATAAGCATCTTTCAATCACCAATCTTGATGGCGAACAAGGATAATTCCATTCAAATAAATTAAGAATATGCGGTTATAAATGGTTTACGGTAGAAGAGTAAATGAGGTAAATTAAGAAATAGAATGAGATGGCGAGCTCAGGCTCTGCATAAACTACAGGAGGGACTGAATGCAAAAAGTTTTTCGAGATCAATCAGATACTTTTAGGGGAGGAACAGCCATGACTTTCATCACAATTCAAAAGTCCTATGGTTTGATGCTTATATCTATGGGTCTTGTGGCATCATTCGGAGGTAGCATTGCATACAACGCTATCCTCACTACAGCTCAGAAGGTTTTGCTCTACCCCTCATTAGTCGGACAATAAGAAGTATTTGAGTGGTTCCCTCAAAATGTTGGAATGGCTAGTGGCATAATCGTTGGAGGATACGGTTGTGGAGCATTCATCTTATCACCTCTGCAGACTTCATATATCAATCCCTTAGACTATCGGGTTAATGCTGAGGGTTACTTCACTCAGGAAGATTTATTAGAAAGAGTGCGTTGCCATTTGCAAAAAGACTTCAATTCACACACTGTTCTAGGTTCCTTATGTTTTCCTTGTTATGGCCACTGTGTACTTCCTGCTACAAACTGTCGGATTAACTTTTGTGGGAGCCCCGAAAGAGGTTTGTTCTTTCTCAGTCTTCTACTAACACAGTTGTTATTGTAAGGACCATGACGAGGGAGACCAACTGATCTCTGAGAATCATTCTCAACCAATTTCTACCCAATTAAAGTATTTCCAAAATAGTCTAATCAAAAAGTAATTTGCTTTTTAGATCAATGACTTTCGTTGTGCTTTTCATATCTCTGACTTTGAACTCGCTTTGGGTTCAAATCGTTAGTGGACTCTATAAGGTTTGATTTCTCTCTCACTGTCTAAGATCAAACTCATCCTATTCAGGCTTATGGCCAGCAATTCATATACAGCGATATGTTCCTCTCATTTGTCGGATCTCTTTCATCTATTGCTAATGCTGGAAGTCGTATCGTATGGGGTTTAATTGTAGACAAGGTACATATCTCTCTCTTTCTGTATTTATAAATGTTCTTCAGAGCTCCTATCAAACTTGCATGTGCATCGTGACAAGCTTGGCAGCTTGTTCGATTTGGCTTTTGCCAACAATCAAATGGATTGGCAACGATATGGTTTTTCTCATTTCAGTACGCGAGACATACATTCTTTCGTTATAGCTTTCTATTTCAGATTTGCACTATGTTCACTTGTGTTGGTGGAACATATTCTCTTTTCCCTTACATCACCAACAGATGTTTTGGGAGAGCCAATTTTGGAGTTGTTTATGGAACATTACAGACAGCTTTGGTAAAAAACAGATCATTTTGTCTGAAATACTTGTGTTCTAGTGTGTGGCCGGGATTTTCGCAGGATTTCTCTGCCAGTTTCTGCTCCCTGAGATTGGATTCGAGAATCTTTTCATCATTGCGGGCTTGTGAGAGAGAACAAACATATGTATGATGAAAACATGTTCTGTATTTCAGTTGCATGGCAGCTTCTTTTGCTTTGACAGTAGTACTGCATAGGACTGATATGGCTGAATCTTCGTCGCAGTACTCATTAGTATCAACAGAAGAATAGAACATAGTTTTACCTCTTACAGGATATCAATCTAGTCCATGTATGTAAAAGGGTTTTGACAACCGTGTCATGATTTGTCTATTTTTGGACTTTTCAATACGGGAATTATTGTGATGAATTCACTTTGTGCACGTTGATGTAAAAGCTGAATTAACGACTTGAAATAATTTATTTGAAACTATAAAGTTTCATTCATCTTTTCTTTAGTATTCAGAAGAAATCTTGTAAGAAGTAGCTCCAGTTCGAAGATTTACGTTTCAATAGCTTCTGTTGTTGCCGACAATAAGGAATCTGCTTGTCTCCCTCATACCTGGAACAGTCAGTCAGTCATTTACTAACGGATATAGGGAACTGACCATTGACAGATCAAAGTAGGAATGTCGTCCTTAAGAAGTTGAGCTGAGCTTAGAGAAACATTGTTGAAGAGAATCCATGGAACATGTTTATGTTGTTCTGGCCAGACATTAGCAGTTCGTTCTCCTGCTTTAGCTTGGAGTTGCTTACCAAGTCGAGACACTAGGCAAGATCTAGAAAATGCAGAGAATGAACGATTAGCTTAACGTTGTACTTACTGAACGAGTCTTTGAATGTCGAATCCGATTTCTAGTGTTTCGAAGCATTTAGAAGAAGCATCTTCGAATGCGGTACCATTCTGGACAAAGTATAGGATGAGTAATATGAATCAAACTCCCAAGAGCAAACCTTCAGTTGCTTTTCCAGACAGTATATCATAGGTACGTATTGTTTCTGATCTTGAGTTGCATCAATCAAACATGATTCAAACATGTTGATCCGGCATTCATCCTCACCATGCTGACAAACTATTCCGCCATCCTAAAAGCTTCTTTGTTCTCTACACAATCTTTTTGAAAATGAACCTGTATCTTAGCATTACCGAAAGGAACAATTTCAATCTTAACAAAATCGCCGAAGACTTGGAAGATCTTAGGATACAGAACTTCTGTAATGAAAGCCTGACATCCACCGCACAGTCCTTCCATCAATAAAGTCAATTCTACAGGCTTATTCTTGACAGCAGTTCGATAGCTAGAAGTAAGTTTATCCGTAAGTAGGGTTGAAATATTGGTTACCTTTCACATTTCTCATTGAAATTACATTTTTTCTCTAGCTCACCATTTCCACACCAGAGGGTAGGAGGAACAGACGAGCAAATATCAGAAGCAGCTTTCAACTGAACGATTAGAAGAGCTGCGAAAATCAGGAACTTCATCTTCACCTTCAATGATGATTTACACAACAACATAGAAATATTATAGAAAAGTATGAGTAGCTGCACAAAGCTATTGAATCAAGAATCATTAAGAAACGAAAATTCATTTAGAGTTGTATCCGGAAACAACTTTCACATTCAACATTAGAATGGTAGAGATGACCTTCTTCGAAGATCTTTCTGTTTGGAAGCACAGTATGGAATGACTTTGTCCCCTTGATACCTGAAATGAGGTAATTTACTATTTGAAAAAGTTATTTCATACCATTGGCAGATAAATGAAGGGATTTCATACAGGAAATGCTGGGCAGTTGATAATGAAACCTCATTGAAGATAACCCAGGGGATGTTAGTATGCTTGTCAGGCCAAACGCTCATTGTTTCGTTTGCTGCTTTCTTCTGGAGCTCTTCCCCACGACTAGACGAATCGCAATCTCTGAAAGTTGAAGAACTCTTGCTATTGATTTGTAATTAGCTTACTGAATCAACTTCTGAAGATCCTGTCCTATACCCAAAGTACGAATACATTTCTGATTGACTTTGTCAAATGGTGTCTTATTCTTAATTACAGAACTGAGTCAGAATATAGAACCAATTCCTACTTTTAGTAAATTCTCTAGGCAATAGATGAATGGCACATATAAGTTTTGATATGCCATAGCGTCGATTGCACATCCTTCGTAACGGTTGATACGACATTCTTCTTCTCCGTGTTGACAAACAGTTTTGTTATTCTATTTCATAAGTTTTCTTTACAGCAGGCGATGGTTTCTTACCTGTACTTTGGCATTGCCATAAGGTACGAATTCAACTGTCACAAAATCAGCGAAGTTCTTATAAACTTGTGGATACAGATGGTTTATAATCCAATTTTCAGTATCAGGACAGAGAGATTCAATTAGAACCTTCAATTGAATGGGTTTGTTCAAAGTTGCATTGATATATCTTGAAATGAGATTAAGTACACATGATGATGAGCATACAATAACTTACTTTGAACACAGATTCGTAAGATTACAGGATGATATGATATCCTTATGGCTACACCAGAGATGTGGAGGAATGGTAGAACACTCAATGGCAGATGAGAAAATTGGTAGTAGACCAACGGTCAGGAGCAGAAAGGAAGGAAGAAAGCTAGTCATTTCTTTGAGAAATTTCTCTGATTTCTATTTCTTGTGCTTAACAAATGCACCTTCAACTGAAAACAATTTATTTTTTTGTCACAGCAACTGTTGAATGACCTAGGACGATCGGTTTGTAGAATCAAAGAGTTAGACAGCTGCTGCTGGTCAGTCAGCACTGACTACAGACCACATTAATCAATAACATTTCTTGGTGATCTCTTAGATTATTGAAAAAAACTTTTTTACGAGAAAAAAGATCTGGAATTTTCTGGAAGATTTTGCTGTCAACGAACTGTTTTGTGCAACTTCTCATTGAATGCAACCTTTGCCCCTTTATGTTCTGAATGGGATCAGTAAGTTTGTACATGTTCATCCCATACTGGAAGGATACAGATTTTAGCCTATCTATGGAAACTCACTGAGTAGCGTTTAAAGATTGACAGCTTATATCTCCCCGCGAAAGAGGTTCACGTACAAAAAAAAGACCTGGTTGTTTCCTTTCCGGAAAATGGTGCTACTCTGCTGAAGATAGATGAAAATGATTATTCCATTCATATTTTTAAATCGAAATATGATTTTGAAGTCTATTTTAATGTTCATTGGTCGTTTCGAGAACTTAATGTCAGGGAAAGCAGCTGAATTCCTTCTGAAATCTCTTTCTAACCTCCAATGCTCAGTTATACGAAATTGATCGGAAGATTGATCAGGCTCCGACAGCAACGGTAAGAATTAGATGTTTTCCCAAATATCCTTTGCTAATTAATTTTCTTTGAAGCTGTTAGATGGAGCTTTTCCTTGCTGATGACTGCTGTAGTCTGAGCTTACCCCCTCCTATTTCGTTATCATCAATTTCTCTGTGTTCCTCTCTCTCTCCCTCTCCTCCATCCACAGATAATTGAGTGATTACTTATCAGATTTCTTATGTTATCCTTTGTCTTCCCTTCATTTCCTTCCACTTTGTCTCGATTTTCTCTTTTACGGTTTGATTATCCCTTCCTTGATACTTGTTTTCAATGAAATTCTACTTCGGATGTGTCATGTTGTTACTTACACCTCTCCAACCCTGTTCATACTCCTCCCCCACTTGTTGAAACCGATCTAGACGGTTTTGAGATGGAATGCAATCGTTCTGGACGGTTTTGAGATGGAATGCAATCGTTCTGGACGGTTTTGAGATGGAATGCAACCGTTCTGGACCGTGGGGGTTGGAACGCGACCTTTCGGTGCCCTTGGGATAAGATCCGGATTTGTCTAGTTCTCATCTCTAGCTTGCGATTCAGTGGGCTTTTCCCCCTCTCTGGAGGAGCTCCAGAGAGAGGGGAGTGAAGCTCACCGGCTCACGCCGCCAACTGACGCGAATCAGACGCTTCACGGCTCATATACCCCCGCGGAAACGCTCCACGTGAAAAATATTTTTTACGTCAAAAAAAAATGACCCGGTCGTTCTCTTTCTGGAAAACGACATAACTTGGCTCAAAACTGATGAAATTGGCTGTTTTTTAGGTTATTTCAGATCAGAATTTCATTTCAAACTTGAATATGATGTTCACTCATTGTGTTCAATACTAAATTTTGTAGAAAACTCCAGAATTTTCTTCAAAGTCTCATGAAAAGTAGAATTCATAGCAGATTCGGCTCGCAACATGTGCTCCAATGCGAATTGTTGATTCGAATCAATCAATAAACACAGAAAAAACAATTATTTATATTTA